GGGGGGGGGGGGGGGGGGGGGGGGGGGGGGGGGGGGGGGGGGGTTGGGTATAACACCCTTGACCCCCCTCCCAATATCTGTTCATGTGTAATTTCAGATTTTCAGGTGAATTTCTAGCTAAGAACTTGTGCAGTATGTGTGCAGTTTTAGCCCTGAAGTATAATTAAAATACATTACATACTCTGAGCTCTGTCCAAAATCCCAATTTTACAAAAAATTTACTGGATTATCAAAATCTCTATAAATGTTACCAAAATCAAAATTTTCCAAAATTTTATTTGATACTAAAATTTTCCAAATTAATTAATAAAGTAAAAAAAAATTAATACCAAATCTGGACTCAAATTTTGCATAAAATTTCCTTCCACATAAAATTCCTTATTTTCAGGAGTTTTCTTTCTTGATATTTAGTCGCTTTGCGGAGTAAATATCGCTGCTATTTTCACCGAATTTATTAGAAAAACTTGAAATTTTCATTCTGAAAAAAGATTGGAAAAGTTAGATCCCGCAAATTAGTAGAAATTGGTCAATTTATGAAACAATTTAATGTACTTTCCTCGAGATTTCCTTCCTCAAATTTCCTGCTAAGTGGAAGAACTTGTGGTGGAATTTTGGTATTTTGTACCATTTATTCTGGACAGAGGGGTTTGTAATGGTTGATGGCTACATTGTGGAACAGATGTAGCTTTAAACCATTCTACTTGTCAAGAAGTATAAAGTCGCTCAGCAGATATTCATCAACAGCCAATTATTGTGTCAATCTTGTCAGGTAAATATATACATATAAAAATTAATACTAGATTACTGGTTAAAAAGTCATGGACTTCATATTCCAGAGGTTTTTCATTTTGCTTATATTGGAAATTTTACACCAGAGATTTCAAAAATTTAATAGTAAAGATATAGAAAGCGTCAAAGTTGAGCACCTGTTATCTCGGTTGGGGCTTTACAATACAGACTTCACACACTGGTATGGCACAAAGCCAGCCAGGTTTTAGTGAGATGCTGCCTTTATTTTTAGGGATCAAACTAACAGCTTTCAATCATTGCAATTTGCACATTGTCTTGGTTGGAAAATTGCAAATCACATCTCCAAATGATGTGCAAACTTTATATTCCAAACTCAACACATCAAGGTCAAATTTGCATGTTTTCCCTATTTTATTTTTGTACTAAAAGAGTATTGCTGAAACATTATTGTGACGTAGGCTTCCTGATTAAAAATTGCTTGAATTGAATTGCAAACTTCGCAATGTGTTTGAAATTCTTTCAACATATTCACAAAATTTGCGACACAAATGGCTGCCGTTTTGTCAGTGCTTCCACTTTGCAAATGTGGAATTTCCTTGCAATTTTGATGAATATAATTAATTTCCTCCCACCCCAACCTCGTCCCCAAGGAAGAAGACCCTAGGGGCTGGGGACGAAGTTGCTCTCTGACCCAAACCCCATTCTTGTACCCAGAGCCCTTCTTTTGCATGTTCGACCGAGTGTGACGAGGGGCTCTGGCCAAACCCATAACCAGATACCATAAAAACATGGTAAGAAAACAATGTCCGGTGTTAGAACTAGCCAATCAGATGCCAGTTCGGATATGGATTTGGCCAGAGCCGCTTGTCGCACCGCGCGTAAGAAGGTCTCTGGGTACGAGAATGACCCAAACCCTCTCTTCTCGGCTGAGCCTTACAAATTTTTAGTCAAATAAAACACCCCTCTGACTAAAATACGCCGGGTATAATGGGAAGACGTAGAAAGCTACATAAGGCTCTGCCATATAATATTTCTATCATGGCGTCAATTATATAAGATACCATCTCACATCCCGCGTTGTGCATCACTGAATGTCCTCTACTTTCCCTATGTTATCACTGCAATTCTCTACTATCCTTATGTACCACCACAATATATTTTAATTTTAGACTCTGTGGAGGAGAGTGCCCAAACCCTCTTCCCTGGTTATTAATTCCTATTAAATTTCATCTTGTAAACATATATATGGGACTGGCCTCAATGAGGCCCTGCGAATCCGGTGCAGCGCTGTAACTGACCGAGCTACAGAGGGTTGGTCTCAAAGCAGCTAGATTGTGTTTATTTTATTATTTTTAGGCAACATGATTTTGAAAATTATCTCTGTTGTCTGTTGGTCAACAAGGAGAGTCGTCACTCAATATTTGCAGTCAGGGCTTTCAATGTTGAAATAGCAAAAGTGAGTGGCGATACAAACTAATGCAGTGTGGCCTATTTGTGGACTTGAGTAATGTATGACTTGAGAACCCTTGACACAATTACAGAAAGTGTTCGGCCAGGATCTGAAATTAGCCACCCAAGCTATAAATCATCGGCATCAACAAAACTCCAATCGGAACGTATTGTGTATTAACCCATTGAGTGGCAGCACTCTCCACTTGACGAGTAAAATCACCTGCCGTTAGACAGAGTAAAATACTAAAGTAGTCAGACAAATACAAATCCGGCCAGATTTGAAATCCGGTGCACCCCTAAAAGTAGGGTGCATCAGGGTGCATGCATTGCCACTTAAAGGGTTAAGGGGATGCATGGGCAGTTTGTTTGGTTAACCCATTGAGTGGCAGCACTCTTCACTTGAGAAGTAAAATCGTCTGGCGTTAGAGAGAGTAAAATACTAATTAAAAGTAATGTGCATCAGGGTGCATGCATTGCCACTTAAAGGGTTAAGGGGATGCATGGGCAGTTTGTATGGTTAACCCATTGAGTGGTAGCACTCTCCACTTGACGAATAAAATCACCTGCCATTAGACAGAGTAAAATACTAAAGTAGGGCACGTCAGGGTGCATGCATTGCCACTTAAAGGGTTAAGGGGATGCATGGGCAGTTTGTTTGCCCATTGAGTGGCAGGACTCTCCACTTGACGAGTAAAATACTCTGGCGTTAGACAGCGTAAAATACTGAAGTATAGGGTGCATCAGGGTGACTTTGACCAATTATTGAGTGTGCATTGCCACTTAAAGGGTTAATGAAATGTTATTATTATTGTAGGTACTGTTTGGCAGTGAGAGATTAATAAATATGAATTTCATCGTTTTCAGATATGTGACTCCACCACTGTGGAAACGATTGGCAAAATGAAGATACAGTTCTGGAAAGATACAATAGATAGCATTTATACAAAGGTAGAACTTAAATATTAAAAGACAACGTTTTCCTTGTCATGTTGCCTCTTACATGCAGGGATGGATTCACTGGGGTTGCACCCCCCTAGCCCTGGGCAGGGGGGCGGTGCTATTTTTCATGATAAAGCAAAAAATTATTAGAGGCAAAATGAGGTACTGCAGTAATTTGAGTAATAACATGATGATAAGCAAACTGTGAACAACAATTACAATTCAAATACAGTAGCCAACCAAGACATTGCGGTTAGTGAAGCAAGTGGATGGGTGGGCGGCGGCGCACATGACCGACATAACTCGGCACCAGAGCTGGCAGAGCACCCTCCCCTACAAGATCATGCTGGATCCATCCCTGCTTACATGCTCACTTCTTTAATTGGGACATTAATTTGTGTTTACAAGATTTATGGAATCGTTTGATTGTTTGATATATATATTTCAGGGGATATGTCCAGATCATCCAGTTGCGAAAGAACTGCAAAAGGTACCAAAAGATTTTTGTAATACTCATCGTATATAGCTAAGGAATAAGATACTGAGCTAACAATTTATCGATAAGGCATAATCTGCTATAGGTTTGAAACAGTTGTTCAAAGATCTTTTGCAGGGCCTGCATCTGGCCAAATGTCCGATGACTTTTAGTCGGACATTTGAACGAGACCTAGCATTGCCCTGCATCTATAGTTATATATTTATGTTTCTGATGTTATTTTGAGTGTGAATACACACCACACCGGACAGGCTGAAAAGTTTGCCTGACCATGCTGGGACTTGAACCCGCAACCTTTGGGATACTAGTACAATACTCTATCACCTTAGCTGCCAGGTCAAGTTGGTTCGTGTGTGTCCTATCCCCCCCTGATCAGGCAAACTTTTCAGCCTGCCCAGCGTGCATGCATACTCAGAGTAAACATCAGAAACATTTCATTCTCCTGAGAACATAACATCAAAACACACACAAAATAAATCATGATTGCTTCTGACAATGCTGTTCCAACAACTTGTCAACAAGATATTTCCTCAACGGGCTTGTAGCAAGCTTGTTAACAAGTTGTGACAATGCTGTTCCAACAACTTGTCAACAAGATATTTCCTCAACGGGCTTGTAGCAGCAACCTTGTTAACAAGTTGTGACAATGCTGTTCCAACAACTTGTTAACAAGATATTTCCTCAACGGGTTTGTAGCAAGCTTGTTAGCAAGTTGTGACAATGCTGTTCCAACAACTTGTCAACAAGATTTTTCCCGACGGGTTTGTAGGCAAGCTTGTTGACAAGCTGTGACAATGCTGTTCCAACAACTTGTCAACAAGATATTTCCTCAACGGGCTTGTAGCAAGCTTGTTAGCAAGTTGTGACAATGCTGTTCCAACAACTCGTCAACAAGATATGTTCTCAACAGGCTTGTAGCAAGCTT